TTATTTTATCATTCAAAACGAATCTAAAAACAGACGATGTAGTTGCCTAAAGAAGCATCAGCAACAGAAGAGGTAAAGCAGTAAAAATGAATAAAGCAGCAGAAATAAATCAAACATTCCCAAAAGCTTTCAAGAGGAGATTTAAGAAAAGCTAGAGAAATCATGTGTCTGCGTTCAGTGAGCAGAGAAATGTCATGTATTTCAGGGGCGTTACGTCGCTTAAGGCTTTAAAATTGATTTTAAACATTCTAATTCTAAAGAGGGTGTGCAGAAAGAAAGTAAACAGTAGTAGCATCACCTGTGAGTGTTTACTCTATTATTGCAGATGTGCTATTTGTCGACATTCTTCATCTTCCATTTCCAACAGGAACAGTATTAATTGCCCGTATGAAAGGTTCCCTCTTGAAATCCTATATTTCTGGTCCCAGCTGGGAACCCAGTCTTCAGAAGTTTTTAGTTGATATCTGATCCTAACGTGATGTCCTGCGTCTCCTGTGTGCAGCTGCAGCCGCTGGCTCCTGAGAGCTCGCTGAGCTTCAGTCATCTCAGCCACAGCGTCAGCAGCCAGCTCGACTCATCGCCCGAGAGCAGCGAGGCCGGCGCCGATATCCCCGTGTCGCGAAATGGTAAGATGTTCCATCTGCTGTTTTAATGAGAGGAAGGATATTTAATGACACACATTACAGGAGGTGCAAACTGAAGATCTTATTTCGCTTGTTTCTTAGCATCGTCTCGTTAGAAACGTCTTTTTCTTTGCTCTTCAAGGCTAAAAAGACAAGTAAATGAATCTGTATTAGCATGTGTGTATTAATGATTGGGTTTCATCTAGTGATTATATTCACTTGTCAATTTATCAGACTTGGTTGATGAGCTGTTAACCTGCATTTCCATCGTGTCCCCTCAGAGCGGCAGCAGATCCTGAAGGGCGTTCAGAACATTGTTGTGAAAGCTGCCCGTCGACGCTCCAAAGCTTTGGAGGTGGAAGCCCTGCGACTCCCCCCTCCCCCCTCTCCGCTGGACCCCAAGAAGCAGAAGAGCAGCCTCTCCCTGAGCGAGGCGCCACCTAGGGGTTTGCCAATGCGACACGGCAGGCAGCCCAGCCCCGAGCTCAGGCACGCCACCTCGGACGACAACCTGTCGAGCAGCACCGTGGAGGGACCCGGCCTGCAGGTGACCTGGACGCGCCCACGTAACCGTCAGGTCGCCGCCAAGAACCAGACGCCCAGAGATGTGGATTTCGAGGCTCGACGCAAGAAGAGGCGCTCACGCTCTTTCGAGGTCACAGGTCAAGCAGTAAGTATATTCCATGTCCACTCTTCTAACATTGTGGATGAACGAGTCGATCAATCGTTTGTCTCCTTGCACCTGCAGCTTCCTCAAACCAAGACAACCACAGCTCAGAGGTTTCGTCCTCTGGACAGCACATCAGACCCCCACTTCCAAATCAACGGTCAGCCCCAGGCCCTGCGGCCCCAGTACAGAGGGGTCCCTCCTCTCGCCAAAGTCAGGGCGCCCCACAACGGCCAGCAGACAGGTAAACAGATATCACTGTCAGCAGGGAGTCATGATGCTTATTCTCCTCAGTTTTAAAATGTCATATGAGGTAGAAGGACGGAGTTTCCTGACGGCCAAGATCAAAATCCTCCTGAGCAGTTTGTACCGTTGCCCTGAGCAGCTGGTGCTCAGACAACGGGGGCTGAAGCAACAGTGTCTGAGGAGCACGGTGGTCCCAGAGTTTGAACCTCTTGTACAACTGATGGTAGATGATGTGGTGGTCTAGGGGTTTCGTTTCAGCACAGATTAGAAAATGAGCGCAGCTTTTTAGATTCTCACTTTGGGGCCAAACTTTGATGAGAGGGTTTTTAATTTATATACTGTATATGAATGTCATGATGTAGAGACGTCCCCGACAGGTGACTCTAAGCATTGACCCTGCAATGTACTGGACAGAAACACCATGTGGTAATTGTCTTTTTTATTGAGCTTTGTCTTTGTGGTTTCTTGTTTCTCTTCAGAGTCGTCCACCGCCCACATGAATAACCTGAAGCGAGGGCCCCAGCTGCGGCAGCCCCAGCCCCTCCTCTACATCACCACGACGGGCACCGGGGGCCAGCGCACACGCAGACACTGAACCGCCTGCTGCAGTCAGCCTCAACACCAGCACTGACACCCAAACCAGCCGTTCCTGCAGGGGAAGCCACTGCAGAGCGCCTGCACTCAACATCCAGACCGATTAACAGTAAATTAACACTCAACACCCAAGTGAAGCACAACAGGCAACGATGGCACCGACTGGCTCTGAAAACTACAGGGGCCAAAGATTGCCTCGCACACAGTGCTTGTTCCGTTCTGTCCAGTGTTTCCTCTTTAGCTGGCTGTCGTGCTGTAGTGACTTGCGTTTTCCGGAGGGTGTCAAGCTCATTATGAACTCAACCCCGTGCTAATGTCTGTGCATTATGATCATACACTGTTTGGTAACGTTCAGTGCTCGTTACAAAGGCCAGAAAATGAAAACATCAGGCTAATGAGGGATGCTAATGGGTATAATGATGAAAATGAGTGTTGAGGGAATAACGAGGTTTATTAGACAAAAGATAAAAAGGCCGAGAGGATATTTCACTGATGGAAATGTAAAAACAGTATAATGAGCAGAGGCCTCCTGTCAGAATGTTTAAGTATCAATGTTTCTTGTAGTGAAGCTGTTTAAATTTGATGACACACTGATATTTGAGTAAAAAAATACTTCATCTTGCTTATTGTGCATTCAAACTGAACCTCTGTTCTCACATGGCCCAGGTCTTTGCCTTTTTCTGACCAACACTTGACTGATATGTGTCCTGCTTGTTTGTGTAGATATTAAGTGCACTATCACAAGATGCTTTTCCAGATTAGCTGGGTGTATTTTTAATGAATTATTTAACTATTGCCTTTTGTTTTATGTTGTTGTCATGGACGTTGTTTTCATATTTACGACTTTCTATGTTTTATTTTGTACATTTTTTTTTATTTTTACCCAAATAAATTAAATTGAAATAGGTGGAATTGGTGTCAACTTTTTGTGTCTATGAATGTTGTGCGTTTGATGTGAAAAGAAAAGACAGAGAATGTCAGATTAGGTCCCAGAGGATGCAGGAATACATTATTAAGAATAAAATGTGGGAAAACAAGGTTCAATAACCCAGGTTTAGATAACCCAGTAAACTTACAGCTTTTTAAAATTGAT